ATGTGGTCCATATACAAGCCACGTCGTTGACTAAACCAGCTGAGTCACGGAAATGCTGGCAAATCAGCCAATGAAGGCGTGCCGCAAGCCTCATCCTAGCTGCTTCCATGCAGCGCTGTGCCATCACAGCGTTGCTTGACGACATCCAAGGGGAGATTCCATTCAGGGCCCACCCACGACCGTCCATTGCACAAAATCGTACGCTGGATGCTCGTGAAGGGGCTGTTCGTGATCGATAGGGACGAGGAGTCACGCACGTCCCTTCCTTCCCCTCCATCCCATTCTTGAAGTGGGTCTACCTGACCTTTTTGCCTCATTTCGCCATTCAGCAGCAGAATGCCTACAAGACAGCCCCTGACAGGGCTGTCTCATGCACCCCACTCGGTTTCTGTTAGAGGCTCCCGCCATGGCGTATGGCACAGGCATGTTGCGTGTGCTATCTCAGAGAGGCCCTTACGGTCAGCAGGCATTCTTCCACCATCCATCCCGACCGACAGTATCGTCGCCCTCTCGGAGCCCAAGTCGCACGTCTAGCGAGGGCGACAACACCGCCACAGACTCAGCTCATACGGAATTCGTTCAACACCTGTGGGATCTCGAACGCGTTGGATGGCTCCGGGGACAACTTGGCTCTCCGTCACCTCCGCGAGAAGCCGGGCGTGGAACTCTTGGACGACGTCCATGTTCAAGGGGGTGAGAGCGATTATGTCAACCCTCTGTATGACCGCACGATCGACGTCGACGAGGACTTAGCCGACGACGAGGAGCATGATGCCACGGCGGCAGCAGAAGCCGATGGCGACATGGATGAAGCGGCAGCAAGAGCGGCAGTAGCAGATGATGCCGACCTCTCTACAGCAGAGGCAGAGACAGAAGCAAAAGCACAACGAGCTGAAGACAGTGTGGAGTGGCCGGCTGAAGGCATTGCTGAAGAGGATGATAACAGCCACTGGTGGGCTGATCTGGCAGATGGGAGTGATGTTGAGGAGTGGCATGCTGGCGACGATGAAGATGATGACGAGGACGACTAGAGCACGTGGCAGAGGCAGTAGCAGCATGAGCTAGAGTAGTGGTAGCTTGTATTGTGGTCCCCTTATATAGCTCTAGGACATCCAAGCAGGCTTAGGTTGTTTAGCTAACCTCTAATTCCTGATTGTTTAGTGAAGATTCACTGGAATGTAGTGGCCCGTTTCGGGGGAGGGTGTTCAATTGATTTCAACCCCAAAAGTAGGGTGGTAACTGGATCCAGTCTAATTAAACACCCATACCCGTTCAAGCCACCCATGGGAGCTTAATTCCGGCAGGTACTGTATCCGGGAGAATACGGTATGTGCGAAACTTGCAATTATGTTTACCACTGGAATATGTTAAAATGAATGGAAATGTCATAAATCAAACCCCAATTTAATAAATGCAGCGAACACGGGTGTAAAAATGGTTCAACAGAAAGAGGCCATTAATTCAACTTTGTATTATTCTATCAGTACAAAGCCAACAACAGGTGAGAGTGTACGTGCAATCTGTCCTTGTAGGCTAAGTCTCGCCTGGTCTGGCCGAACCTACCACCCCTGTTATTTTGCGATGCCAGGCTGGCAGTCCACTTTTGTGAGAGTGGCCCGTCACCCAAAGTTTAGGATGTTGATTAAATGGTCGCCTCTGCTCGATAAACATCGACGGAGTTCAGTAACAATAGGGGGATGGGCATGTTGCAGCTGGAACGAAAGCACAGCGTGCTGGGTTATACGTGAACACGAGCATCGTAAATTGTAGCCTGCCCTAAAAAAAGCCTTTAGGCAGGCTCTCTGCATCGTATGGCTGGGCAGATGCGCACGCAGCAGGTTCGAGGTTTGGTGTGAGCCTTGTAACAATCCCGAGGAGGGATAGGTTGATTGACACAGCCAGGCAGAAGTCGACTGGTCGATGAATCTTGGCCGTGCAAACTGCTCCTCCCCGCATATCACGGCGTTATCGGATGGTTGACTGTATTGAAGTTCCTCTCCCAACCAAACCTCCCCCGTTGGTTCGTCCTGTTGCCTCACAGGCCGATCCATCATCTCCACCCCCTCGTTGGCTGCTCCACCCACTCCTGATTGTGTACCACATCCACTCCACTCTTTTGTAGCCCATTTCGTGCTATCCCTTCCATTAGCATTTCACCCAGTCTAGCTGTAGGGCTTGCACCTGCTCCAAAATGGCCAACGAAACCCTCAGGCGCGGAGAAAGAGAGCGCAGGAATAGCGTCAAGCTGAACGGCCCCTATGTTATTGAGGGAGATGAGGATGGTCCTGCGGAGCACCAGGGTCGCAAGGTGACGCCTAGCGAGACGAAGGAGGCCCTCCTTGAGTACCGGAAACGGCATCCATGTTCTGTCAGGGGCTGCAAGAAGGGAGATGGTAGCGATTATAGCAGTGACGACGAGAGCGACGATGGGGAGGATGGCGCACCATACGATGACGTTCCAGAGAAATTGCGGTCGCCAAAAAAACGAAAGCCACCCAAGAAGAAGAGCATTCATGAGCTCGACCCCGAGGCTGTTGAGAGGGGTGAGCTTTCTTCACCCCTGATCACGCTTGGTTGTATGTGGTTGCACATGGGGAGTACTTACTCATGGCCTAACCGCCATGTCGAGCGTTCCATTTGTTGGCAGGTGCGAAGCGGCGCGCGGTCTCGACGAACAAGAAGGCTAACGGCAAGGAGAAGAAAAAGGGACCGAAGCAATCTGTGGCAGAGGGAGAGGTAGATCGGAAGGAGGCGGCGAAGGACACGAGTTTGCGCGGGAAGCTCGGCACCGCGGAAGGGAAGATGGAGATGGCGGGGCAGAAAGATGGGTGTGGGTCACTTCCCGAGAAGAGTGCTTGCGGGAAGGATGAGGCGGGCGAGATGAAGACGGCTACAGAGGTGGAAAACAATAAGGAGTCGGGCGGGTGTGAGGTGGCATATGACGGGCGTGACACGCCTGCTGAAGGGGCGGACGGCCCGTGGGCAATGGTTCCCGCCAGAAAGGGAGTGGACGGAGGCACAGTGGAGATGCATGTGGATACTTCGGTACCTATGGCTGGTGGCGTGTCCCCCCCTCGGACCACGGAAGCAGGAAAAGGCAATGACATGCCTGCAGTGCAACCTTGGGGCTCCGCGGATGGCGCGGATCATGCGCCAGACGGTGGCGGCGAGGGCAAGAAGGCGGCTCATCAGCGCGGTGCTGTATTGAAGCCGAGGACGCCAACCCCTAAGAATCGCGGAGGCCTCCGCCCCAAGAAAGAGCACAAGGAGGAGGTATCTGACGACGATTCCGATGAGGAGAGCACGGAGTCCGGCAGCAGTTCCGGCAGCGAGGAGAACTATGATGACGAGGAGTGTGAGAGCGAGTCCGCAGACTTGGAGAGAAAATCCTGCGATGACAGCCATGGTAAACGTCATCAAGGGAGGCGCGGCGGCTCTCGACGTCGCAGGCGCGGTAAGACCAGCGGACGTGGCAACCACGGGTGGGAGAAGAAGCGGCAGCGAGGGGGGTTAGAGGACCGACGCCGCACCAACAGCTCCAAGGATCGGGCATCCAGGGGCAAGCAAAAGGGATGGAAGTCGAAGGATGATGACGACGCCTACGGGAATGAGCAAAGCGACTCAGAGAGTGAGTCCGCGGGGGAGCTCGAGCCCTGCCACAAGAAGCGTCAACGCGGCGGCGACCGGAGCAACGTGTACGCAAAGGCGGCCTCATCCAGTGATGAGGAGGAGGTGGTTGCCCAGTGGAAGCCTAACAAGAGCGGAAAGGATGCACTGGACAAGTACCCGAGGGGATCCAAGAAGGCGGACTCAGGTAACGGAGGGGAGGACAACGATGAGGAGGCGTCGGAGAAGAACCCACCCAGGGTTCGCGAAGCTGCGAACGAGCGTCGCCCGTGGCGTGGCGGGAACAATGCTCAGAGTGGCAGCGAGTTGCGTATCAGTGTGGCGGACACACGTGGGCGCGCGGCGGGTCATGCTGGATTGGAACGCCGGAAGCAGCAAAGTGATGATGGCCGTGCTGCTGGTGGGATGTGGGCATGCGCCACGGGGGAGTATGGGCCTGAGGGGAACCATCAGACACATCAGCATGCCACCACAGGTTCTCAGCGCAAACGCGCTGCGGCCGAGTATGAAGGCGCTGGCGGGCATGACGGGAAGCGTCGGCGGCCTGAGGGTGAGGACTCCAAGGGGGGGCGCTTCTCCTGGGAAGACATTGCGGATGCAGAAGAGATGCCGACCTACGTGACACCACAACTGCTGTGGCGGGCGTTGAGGGAGGCCATAGGGAAGATCCAGGAGTTTAAGGGAGAGCGGGATCGAGGCCTTCCGCGACTCGCTTCCGCATCCAGCGGCCCCGATACCGGCACGGATCTGGTGGGCGAAAGCACGGGGATGGCAGTGGTGCAACGGAAGAAGGGCATGCCCTCGCTGAAGAAGATTGGGGTGAGTCATCAATGAATCGCTCTTCCTTGCAAGGCAAGACTTGCATGTCGACTTGGTGTCCATTGCTTGTACGTGCCCCACTTACAACCGCTCGGCTGGCCTGACAGAATCTGGTGACAATTTCCTTTGCGTTGGATCTCGTCATCCTCAGGCCCGTGCGACCCTCTCCCTCCTGCCCTTGTCCACAGGTTTTCTCCATCCAGCGCATGGCCCCAAGTTCTCCTCCTCGTGAGCTTGCCCTGTATGTCCTTTCCCCCCTTACCCTCTCCCCCCTGCCCCCGCCCACAGGTTCTCTCCCTCCTGCCCTTACCGTGAGATATCTCCCTCATGGGAATGCCATGTATGCTCTTGGCCACCGACCCTCTCCCCCCTGCTGTTGCCCACAGGTTCTCTGTCTCACCCCCATTCTGCCCACAGGTTCTCCCCCTGATGTCGATGCCCTCATTGCCTTTGCCTGCCTACCCTGTCCATCCTGCCCTTGCCCACAGATCACTCACATGCCATTGGCCGGTGGTTGTCCACCTCATGACCTTGCCCTGTGTGCCCTTGCCCGCCCACCCTCTCCTTCCTGCCCTTACAGACAGGTTCTCTCCCTCTTGCCCTTCTCCACATGTTCTCTCCCTCCTGCCCTCTGTCCGCAGGTTTGCTCGCTCATGTCGTTACCCTGGATGCCCCTGCCAGCCTACCCTGTTCCTCGTGCCCCTATCCACACGTTCTCTCCATCCTTTCATTGACCTCGAGATCTCTCCCTCATGTCGCTGCCCTTGCCCGCCTACTCTCTCCCTCCTGCCCCTTCCCACAGGTTCTCTGCCTCTGGCAACAAGGAGTACTTCTCCCTCCATCCTTTGCATGTTTGTTCCCCTCCCTCCCACCCATACCCATAGCTTCTCTCATTCCTGGTGTGGCACACAAGTTCTCTCCACATCTTACCTGCTTTTTGGCATCTGCTTTGCTGCCATTTCCCCTCCGTCTCCCCATGCCTCTGGTTGTCTGTCCCCGCCCTCTCTCCCCCCCATTCCCCCCCCCCCCCCGACGCCCATCCGTCCACAGATCCATTACGAAACCTCGCGCGACCGGATGTGCATCGATGCGCCTGATGCGGGCATTGACTTCTACACGACCTTCTACCTCCGCATGGTGGACCTTCACACGGTTTTGGTGATGGAGGGCTACGACGTGTCTTTCGTGGCTGTTCAGGAGGCAATGACCGACAACAACTACAACGATAAGTTCAAGCGTGTATGGACGCAGTGGAAGAACGAGCGGGGGTTCCTGATCAAGAGGCGGGTGTTGACGGAGCTAGGGGTGAAGGTCAAGTGGGCGAGGGGCTCCAAGATCCATGTGGACCTTGATGACAAGATGGCCCTCTGGCATGACTTCAAGCCTCGTAAGTACTCATGTAGCTGCGCGGTCACAGTTGTTTAGTAGGGCGCATGTCATTGAAGTTAATACCTCGTGTTCACTCCCCATATCCTCACACCATTTGAGCATCATGCACCTCCATCTGTGCTGCCGTTACCCCCAACAGGAAGGAGGTTTGGGCAGTTGGTGAGCACCTGGGGCTCGGCGAAGCCACCCCCAGGGGTGCACTCCGGGCAGCCTTTTGCCAACAAGATCTTCTTTCAGGCGGCGTTCGATGCGTTTCAGCAGTGGGCTGTGGCGGGGAAGCTCTGTCTGAAGGCGTATCACATTGCCTGGATTATCATGGTGGTAAGTGGCGGGGAGCGCGCCTTAAAGGACGCCGTGGCTTGGGCTCTAGTATCCTCCCGATTGTGCTCGGCTCATGCAACCCCATTCCCGTCCCCCACCTCCCTGACCCTTTTACAAACCCCCTCGGCCACCCTCTTCCCCAGGTCGACTATGGGCTGACCCGCCGCAGGCACACCACGATGGGCCTCTCTAACTCACACCCCAAGAACAAGGCCTGGATAACGGACCTTCACAAGAGGGTGCGACAGGTGGTCATTGACCACTTCAGCAACTACCCCAAGGAGTACAGCAAGGACATGCGGGGGTGGAAATGGGGAGAGTATGGACTTTACGTCCATGAGAGTGGCTTCAAGGACGAGTGGCAGGAACCAGGGAGGGAGGGCAAGGGGAAGGCGCCCAAAGGTGGAGAGGGAGAGGCTAAGGATTAAGGGTCATTTTGCAGGGGTGAGCCAGGTATGTGCAGGGGTGGCATCACCACACCGTTCAGGGCAGGGGACGGATACAACTGGGACGGAAGTGGAGCCAAGTATTGGCGTGGGCTCTGGAGGGAAGGGTCTGTCAGCATCATTCTGAAGGGGCAGCCATCCCACAATGGGAGGGGCTTATTGCAAGCGCCAGTACTGGCGTGTGCTGGGTTCATAACCATGGGGTGTTTGCAGATGCATGATGTGGCAGCGTCGTTTGAGGGGTGGGGTGCTGGCAGCGAAATGATGTGAAACAGGTGGGCTGGTCGGGGGCGCTCGAGGGCGGGTTCCTTTTGAGGGATGTGAGTGGCCTTGACATTTGGGTATCACACTATAGTGGGTATTGATAAAGCCGCTCACAGCAGCGGCAAGAACTGGAAGTTGTGGTTGGGAGCATTTGTGATATGAGGCACCGGCAGCAGCGCATGAGTGGGTTCGGCATCAGGCTGTGGTGGGGGGGGGGAGTTAAAGGGTTGAGGCAACAGCGGGCGCGAGGAATGGATATGAGCATCAGCTTGGGGAGGGGGGGGATAGGGGACTGGGGGATGAGGCACAGGTGGCAGCAGCAAGGGAGGGGTCTCAGCAGCAGCCTGTGGTGGGGGGAGAGGGGATTCGGGGAATGAGGCACAGGTGGCAGCAGCAAGGCAGGGGTCTCAGCCGCAGCCTAGGGTGGGGGGAGGGATTCGGGGAATGAGGCACAGGTGGCAGCAGCAAGCGAGGGGTCTCAGCAGCAGCTTCGGGTGGGGGGAGAGGGGATTTGGGGAATGAGGCACAGGTGGCAGCAGCAAGGCAGGGGTCTCAGCAGCAGCCTTGGGGGGGAGGGGGGAGAGGGGATATGGAGAATGAGGCACAGGTGGCAGCAGCGAGGGAGGGGTCTCAGCAGCAGCCTGTGGTGTGGGGGGGGGGGGGGGGAGGGGGGGTTGTGGGATGAACGAACCACAAGCAGCAGCAGGGCCAGACTCATACCTTGGTGGTTAGCTAGGTTTATCATAGCTGCAGCGGCAGCGGTGGGAGTAGGTGGGGGCTTGCAGCAGCAGTATGTGCTCTCTCAACGAGGAAGGAGGGGGTTGATGCCATCGTACGGGTCGTTTCCGATTTACTTCCAGGGTAGTGGTCCTTTTGTCCGGATGCGGTTGGTAGGGCGATCACAGCTTGGATGCGGGTAGAGGTCTAAACCCTGAGATTTTGTGTCACTGATGTGTTTTCTTGTGACACTGATGTGTTTCTTCTACTGGCCATCTATACCAATTAATGAGCCTAATATCTGTGGCAATGGAGTACTAGCGGATGTGGCAGTAACGGATATAGAATGTACCAAAAAAAGGACAACAACACGCCTCAAACACAATGAATAGATGTAAGCGTGACGCGAACAAACTTGTAATGGTCTTCGTGCACAGTACAAAAGTTCTCTTCCAGCATGACCGCATGGTGACGTGGAGGTGTTATCGCGTACGACCAAATAACATCAGCGCGGTGTCGGCAAACCATCTGCGTGGCGTTTGACAAACCATTTGAGTGGTGTTTGACAAACCATCTGCGAGGTCTTTCCAACTTACACCGCGAAGTGTTTGGACCCACCAATTTGGAAACCACCTGAAAGGTGTTCGCAACAACACTGCGCAAATGCTTTTCGGACACTGAATTTTTGCGATGCTAATAGGGATGACGGATAGCTCCCTCCAGCCAATCAGGTGCAATGCAAGGCGTGCGTCATCACAAAGGTATACACTGCAACCATATTCCTGCGGTTTTCCCGATCCTATCAAATCGGCTCCCTCCATGTTGTGAGCTGCTCTCCCCTCTATCCGTGTTATCCACTGAACTGGCAGGTCCATGCGCAGGCAGTCCGCGGGAAGGCAGTCTGCGGGAGGGGAGTCCGCGGGAGGGGAGTCCGCGGGAGGGCAGTCCGCGAGAGGGCAGTCTGCAAGTAGTGGCGGCGGTGGAACGAGGGGCGGGAAGGCAATGGACCAGCGCGAGCTGTTACTCCTCATGGCGCACGCAATTGAGACAATGCAGCCCGCGATGAGCGAGATGGCCACTCTTTGCCGGAAAACCGCCAATAAGATGTTGCCAGGTGAGATGTCATCTGGTCAGTTGCCGCTAGTTGAGATACCGCCTGGTGAGAGGTGAAAAAAAACGGTGTTTTTTTCAGACCTAACGGTACCGATTTTTCCGGCCATATGAGACGATAAAAAACGGTCAGAAGTGCCATTTCGAGGGTGGTGCAGAAAAATAGCGTTTTTTTCAGCCGGTTTTTTTTTTAGCAGCTGGAATATTTGGCAAAAAAACGCATTTTGACTAGGCTTGAGCAAAATACTCGCCCGGGTTGGGTACCTGGGACCCGGATCCGCTTTTTGGGCAGGTCGGGTATCCGAATTCCGGAATAATACCCGGCGGGTCGGGTCCGGGTTATCCGGGCGGTTATTCGATACCCGTTACCCGAAACGTTACCCGACGTGTCGGGTAACGGGTACCCGACCCGGTCGGTTAAATAATACCCGAGGTCGGGTACTCCATTTAGACATGGGCGTAAGTCGCGTTGTGTTTAAGGTTTTGCGGCAAAACGAAATGGGAGGTGGGGGGGGACAAGTGGAGCATTTGTGAGAAGTTGGAGTTTGTAGATGGGGAGGAGTTAAGTGCGGTGAAAGAGAAGGAGTTGGGTGGGAGTTGGAGAAGAGGTTGGAGTTTGTAGATGGGTAGGAGTTTAGTGCGGTGAAAGGGAGGGAGTTTGGTTGGAAATGTTGGAGTTTGTAGACAGGGAGGAGTTAAGTGTGGTGAAAGGGAGGGAGTTTGGTTGGAAATTGGAGTTTGTACACAGGGAGGAGTTCTGTGCGGTGAAAGGGAGGGAGTTGGGTGGTCAAAATTCGATCCCCAAAAAACGAGACTCTCATTTGAGCGTTGTGTTTTCAGAAACCCTACCCAGCCTAGCCCATCTTTAGGATGTCCACTAGTAGGTGGCGGGTAGTATTACCCGCTTTTCAGGGTAACCGGGTCGGGTATACCCGGACACGCCAGGCGGGTATTGTATTACCCGTCCCCTAAGGCCGGGTCCGGGTAAGGGTCCTGGGCATATTACCCGACCTGGACCCGACCCGAAAATACCCGACCCGAGGTCGGGTATTGCAAAACCGGGTCGGGTCGGGTAATTACCCGGTTTTGCTCAAGCCTCATTTTGACCATCGAAATGTGCGGATCTCGCGTTTCGGGCTGCTAAATGCGCGGATCTGGCCTTTCGCCAGCAGAAATGCGCGGATCTGGCATTTCGCCAGCAGAAATGCGCGGATCTCGCATTTCGCATGCCAAATTGTGCGGATCTCGCGTTTCGGCGGCAGAAATGCACGGATCTGCTATGTGCGTGGATCAGCCCCCCCCCCCCCCCAAAAAAAAATAACAGCGTTTTTTTCATCAACTGGCCGAAAAATGCGGTCGTACTATATGGCCCGTATAATACGATTATCGTATTTTTGCACCTTGGGTGAGATGCCGCCTGGTGTGAGGTGCAAAAAAACGGCATCCGTATTAAACGGTCCGTTTTAAACGGTCGTTTTTTTGTTAGACCTTTTTTCATTTAGGTTTTTTTATGTATAAAAAGCACGCGTAAACAAGTGGCCTGATCCCTAAGGCGGCCTGCATCGTTCTACGAGGTAATTAGCGGCTTTGAAACAGGTATGTGATGTCCATGCCCCTAGTCCGTCGCCTTCTATGCCTCATTTTGCACTTACTCCACCATCCCCCCCGTCCTCCTCAGCGTCATTCATCCATCCATCTAGTCCTCGCCCCCCTAGTCCTCGCCCCCTAGTCCCGCCCCCCTAGTCCTCCCCCCTAGTCCTCCCCCCCCTAGTCCTCCCCCCCTAGTCCTCCCCCCCCTAGTCATCGCCTCGCCCGTCCATGCCTTGTCCTCCTACTCCGCCTCTCCTCCTCCCTGTTCTCCTGCTGCTCAGCCTCATCCTCCTAGTCCCTCTCCGCCTAGACCTCATCTGCCTAGCCCTGCTCCTCCTCATCCTCCTCCTCCCCCTGCTCCTCATCCCTAGGCCAAAAACAATGTACATCGTATTATACGGTGGTACGAAAAAAACACTCGTATAAAACGATCGTTTTTTGCACCAAACGCAAAAGGCAACTTTCGACCATATTAATCGTATTATACGACCGTTTTATACGATCCTGTTTTAAACGGCAAAAAAAGGTAAAAAAACGCCCTTTTTTTCACCATGTGATGCTGCCTGGTAATGCCGTCTGGTGAGATGGCGCTTGGTGAAATGCTGTCAGGTGAGATGCTGTCGGGTGAGATGGCGCAAGACAAGATGCTGCGAGGTAAGATGCCGCTTGGTAAGATGTCGCCAGATGAGTTGCTGACAGGTGAGACGCTGCTAGGTGAGTTGCTGCTTGGTGAGATGAGATGCCGATTGGTGAGATGCCGCCTGGTGGGGCGTCGCCAGGTGAGATACCGCTAGGTGAGATGCCGCCTAGTGACACGCCGCCACGTGAGACGCCGCCTGGTGAGATGCCGCCTAGTGAGATGTCGCCTGGCGGCAAGGTTCAAAAATATGGTTTTCGAAAAATACGGTCCGTATTATTCACCCGTTTTTTCCGGGGATTTTTGGAAAAAAAAAAAACGCCGTTTTTAAATATAGCATTTTTTTGTTTTTTGGTAGACGGCCTAATCCTTCGCCAGATCCGCGTCATGGTGCGTGGTGAGATGCCACTAGGCGAGATGTCGTCAGGTGAGATGCCGACTGGTGAGATGCGGCTTGGTGAGATGCCGTCTGGTGAGATGCGACCCGGTGAAATGTCGCCAGGTGAGACGCCGCTAGGGTAAAATACCGCTACGCGAGATGCCGTCTAGTGACACGCCGCCATGTGAGAGGTCGCGTGGTGAGAAGCCGTATGGTGAGATGCCACCAAGTAACTGCCATATGGGATGCTGCCATGTGAGATGCTGCCAGTTGCGATGATGCCAGTTGAGTTGAGATGACGCTATGTGAGATGTTGCTTGGTGAGATGCGGCTAGGTGAGACCTCGCTAGGTGAGATGCTGCCTGGTGAGATGCCGTCAAGTGAGATGCCGTCAAGTGAGATGCCGCTTGGTGAGATGCCGCCTGCTTGGTTAAATGGCACCAAGTGAGATGCTACCTGGAGAGATATCGCCAGATGAGACGCCGCTAGTGAGATGCCACCAGGTGAGATGTTGCCTGGTTTGATGCTGCCTGGTGAGATGCTGCTTGGTGAGCTGTCGGCTGGTAAGATGCGGCCACGTGAGATGCCGCTAGGTGAGATATGGTCTAGTGAGATGCCGGTTCGTGAGATGCCTCCTTGTCAGAGGATCGAATGCGCTATGCGTAGTGCGGAAGAGAATGAATATTTAATGACAATCCCGAGGAACAACACAATTTATAGGCGAGCACTCGCGAGGTCCTCCGAGCGAGGCGTGAGTCTAGCTAAAACGTGAATGTTCCAGAAAGGAACCATTTCCCTTTAGAAGCAACTGTTCTAGAAGCACTAGATGATTCGCCAAAATATGGTGAACACTCGGTGCACACAACAGTTTATCAGATAACACATACACTTATGATAACCAAGAATAATCCAAATAATACACTTTGAATAAAATAATCCGAGTGTTTAGAAGGAGTATTCTAGGTGATCAATAGTGTTCTAGAAGATATAGAATTAGTCCTTTCTCTTAGGAAACCTATCCTGTTCTCACACTCCTGATGAGATGTGCCAGGTGAGATGCCGCCTGTTGAGATGCCGCCTGGTGAGATGCTGCCTGGTGAGATGCGGCTTGGTGAGATGCCGTCTAATGAGATGCGGCTTGGTTAGATGCTGCGTGGTGAGCCTGGTTAGATGTCGCTTTGTTAGGTGCGGCCTAGTGAGATGCCGCCATGTGAGATGCCGCTAGTTGGGATGACGCTACGTGAGATGCCGCCTGGTGAGATGCTGTCAGGTTAGATGCCGGTTGGATGGCGCTTGGTTAGATGGCGCCAAGTGAGATGGCGCTTGGTTAGATGGCACCA